TCCGCGCCGTGTGTGGCGGCGGCGTCGGTGGCGTGTTTTTGGTGTGTGGGTGGCGGCCCCGATGTCCGTCGCTTGCGGTGACGTCACGCTTGGCCTGTGACATCGCGGCCAGCTCGACGGTCGTCATGAACGAGACGTACGCCACGATCGTCACGAAAAGGACGCCGACGCAGAGACCGGCGACGGCGAACGCGCGCCACCTGTCGCTGCGCAGGGAACTCATGTCCGGCACTCTCGTCGGCTCCAGTGGCGGCGGCGGCGGCCCGTCGCCAGCGTCGTTGCCTCGGATGAGCTGCTGCTGCCGCTGAGTCGCCGCTGGGAGGCGTTCGGGACGCATCACGCGCTGCTCCCAGTCTGGTTGTCGGACGCCCGCTGGACAGGGCGTGACTTTCTAGCGCTTCGCCAGCAGCGAGTTAAACGCCGTGTGGGCTTTTGTGGTGGGAATGATGATCGTGATCCAAGGAATGTTGGAAGCTACCACCCACTTGGGGAGATTGGACGAGTCACGCGGTTAGCACGGTATTTTAAAAATACCTTTGCCAACCATAAAATTATATGATCGTTGGTAGATATTTAGATACTCGAGGCTGTCGTTTGTACTATTACGATGATTGCTCGCTTGCTTGATCCGCTTATGTGGCTTTTACCCAATAAGGAGGATTGGCCAAGAAGCCGCTGGTTAATGTAAGTGAACAATTTAGGACTATGCAGGCTAGAGAAAGATCATTTACTTTTTTTTAACAGGACGGAATAATTTTGACGCAATGTGAAAAAAAATGAAGGAGAAATCATGGGATTTTTTTAATAACTGGGGCATAATCATTAAACATAATTCTTCAGTAGATCAAGCAAGTGGGGAGAGGTCCCTCAGGAGCTCACTTCTCGCCGACCAGCAGTGGGCCGTCCAGCAGGCCCACGAAGCGGCCGCCAGGTACTCCCTGTCGGTCCCTACGTGGGAGACGCCCGCTACGCGCTAAGCGTGTCCTGCAGGACTGAAATAACGTTTTTTTTTTTTTTCATTCCATTCCATATGATTATTGGTAAATGTTTGGATACGCGAGGCTGTCGTTTGTACTAATATGATGATTGCTACCTCGCTTGATCCTCTTATGTGGCTTTTACCCAGTAACGAGGACTGGCCAAGAAGCCGGTGGTTAATGTAAGTGAACAATCTAGGACTATGCAGGTTAGAGAGAGATGATTTACTTTTTTTTATAACAGGACGGAATAATTTTGGCGCAATGTGAAAAAAAATGAAAGAGAAATAATGGATTTTTGGATAGACGTGCGGACGTACGGACGGATGGGCACACGAACAGTCAGACAGACAGATGGATGGACGGACTCACGGACGGACGCACGGACAGACAAATAGACGCATGGATGGACGCATGGACGGTTGCCCGGACAGATGGAAGCAAGAACGAACGGATGGACGGAAGCACGGACGGGCTGGCGGACGCTTCATCTTACTCATCATCATTCACTGCGTGGATACGCTGTGATTTTTTTTTTTCGCGGGTGCACAGGGCCATCATAGGTCTGGCTCACTCCAGTCATCGCAGGTAGAATACTCTGATTGGGCTGGTACCAAGTGGAAGGTACAAGGTATCATGCGGAATATGCAGGTATCCGATGGAAGCGTGCCACGGCGTTTCGTCTAGTAACCACTATATAAAGTGCAGGCTCATTCTATGTCTGAAGGCGAAATCTAGGCCACGCACTGTGCGCATACGATATTACGCTATAAGTTTGACTGACTCGGCAGGCACAAGAGTGCAATAAGCAAAGTAGACAAGGCGGGCATGCCCAGCGCACCGGATACATCTGAATGTACTTGAATCAAAACCATATAAACGTGTCTAGAGCCAACGATCCAGCCAACGCTCCAGGACCTTCGGCAAATACTTTGAATCCTGTTTCTGTGGCACAACGTCTCAGCGGAGTTGATCACACCGTAGTGTTAAGTTACGGTAGAGCAGGTGGGCTTAACGATACACCAAATAGCTTTCCGCAACTCATGCTTTTAAATAGACGAACCACTAAGACTGAAGTAAGTTTTTATAAAAGGTATTTTGTCGATCCGCACTGGCTTCATGAGCGTAGCTAGTCTGGAAAGTCGTCATTCTCTTTTAAGTTACGCGCAGAAAAAAAAAGGACGGCTCCGCATACCAACACGAAGCTATTTTTGTGGAAATGTGGCACGAAAACTACATTCTCAACAGATGGAGCTTCAATTAACGTATGTAACGAAAGACAAACAAACGCGTGGTCGTTGCAAGCGTGTCGCCCTACTGTCCGTGACTGATGGCATGAATATGGGGCGACGACTGCGAATAAGTTCTGGAGAGGTGACGACAACGTCGAAGTGCTGGCCTGACCGTTTGTCACAAACGAAGGTGACCATACCCTTCAGAAAAATAAATATTCTCGTTTAGGGATGATACGCGCACTAAGAGGCTGTTTTTTGTGCGCACAGATTAAAATTGGGCTACAGATCAACAGGACTTATTACGTTTGTGCAACGCGTACGAAAATCGCGCAGTCGAGGTATACTACAGTCTCAAATGAAAAGCCTCAATATCACCACAATAGGCAGAACCCTGCTCGAGCGCTTAGGTTGTCCCATATGGCTGCAATACCTAAACAAGGAGTCCCACCTTAATGCATTGGGATATACGGGATAGAATAATACGCGCTTTGCCTTATAGACCTGAATAAGAATAGTTACGGAATAGAATAACACCAATTTGCCTTCTAGACTGATGGTATTTCGAACAAAAAGTGCGAAAGATCGTCAGTCTAGGAGAAAAGCAGCTGCTAAGAATCTAGATAAACGCTTCGGCTCGAGTTCTGAAACGATAACGATCTGCAGGGTTGTAGCAAAAAATTATTGATATTTCGCGTCGTGAAGGCTGGCAACGCTCAAGCTACAGTCGCGCCCGTATGAGTTTCAAAATGCTGCCCGTGGGCCTAGCGGCGTGAACACAACAAGGTGGCGCTGACTTGGAAAACCATCGCCGACGTAAGCATTATTTCGACTGATGGAATCTCCAAAAACAGTTTCGCGTTTGCCGGTGTGACACCCCTTCAGCCTAGGTCACCGCGTTGCAACTCGCATTCAGTGCCACTGCACGTGCATGGACGTTGGAGAAAGGAATGATAATATGCGGCTGGGAGACCGTGGCCTTCATCATAGCCTGCTCATGCCCCGGAAACTCACCGCTAGTTTTGGTTTCAAGGAACATGCACGCTCGTACCGGTTGCCGGGCATCCGGTTGAAGGGAGTGAGGTTGATTGAATGTTCGCATTTATTGGCTTTTACAGTTTTTACAAATAAAAAAATCTATACCCCTGTAAAGAACTTCTCTTTTGTTTATTTGTCCTTTCTTTTGTCTTATTTTGTGAATTTTAAATCAGGTGATATTAGAAGTTGAATAGCGTTCAGTTATCTCGCTTGGTTGGCGTGTCAACTGCGGGAATGATAAAGACATGCAAGTTAATGCGAGCAGAGAACGGAGCCCACAGTGAGCTACGCCGAACAAATCAACCATGCATTCGACAAAAGATTGCTTAATCGGGCAACACACGTTTTCCGCGGCTCTGCGGTGTGCTAACCCGGTGATTTCTAGTTCCGCGAAGGTTTTTCAGCGTTTCCTAAAGAAGTGCATTGTCGGTTGACTAATTGGTGAAGACTCCTGTCTGGAAAATGAGTTTATTGAAAGGCTTGAATTTGAGTTGGCTCGGCTACATATAGCTTTAGTTTCTTTTACTTTCAGCGTGTAGTTAAAACGATGTCAAGTAATTGTAGGCTGCTTCCTGCTCATGAAATTCTTGTAGTCGCGGTTTGAAATTTTGTGAGTCTATGCTCATGAGAGTGTCGCACAAATACGCGTGATGGACTAAATGCTTTTAAATTTTATTACAGAGAATGTCAATGGAGTCAACGTTTTAACGAGAGAACTTTAATTCGAAGACACGTCAACTTTCCGAAACACTGTTTCCTGCGACGTTTTTTTTCTTGAAAAACTTCCGATTGCTTCAAGCCTCTCCATGGCGCTGATCTTCAGTCTCGTTTGATACTCAAGTTCTGTAAGAAAATTATGCGCGCCGTCATAACAAACGTGGTTGAGTCTAATACGACGTGTTTTACTCGTGATTGGATGGATGGACGAAGAAAAAAAAAAACTTAATCTTGTATCCAGCGTGTTAGTGGGCTGGGCTCCCGCCTAGGCGTCGGCTAGAAGGTCTTGCCTCCTAGCGGCTTCCTCGTTGATAATTTTCGCATTGGTTCGGATATTCTGGGTTCAACGTTTGCTCATTATGTCTGTATGTCAGTTGTAAGTTAAAGCTGCTTTTATAGATTGACACTTTCACATGCGTGTATGCCTGTTTTTTATACAAAACGTGAAATGAAAAAGTTCATGTTATTTTGGCTGATCAAGTGTCGTCTTACTGAGAAGTCGGGGAGCTCAAATTTTGCCTGTTCAGAGAAAACGAACAAAAAATAAAGATTAACAGTATTTTACGAATGGCCGCATCGCCGAAGCGGACAGGGGACCTGAAAGAAGGCACGATCGCTTTCCCCTTGCATGCGAAGTGGGAAAGAAGGGCTTCCGCGGCAACTCTCCTCCTCTGAATATTTTTCGTCCTTTCCCTCTACTTTGGGGATGTCACCAGGGTCGTCACAAAAAAAAATTTGTTCGTGATTTATTTCTAGTGGGATGCACGGCAACCACCAGTGGTGAAAACGGCGCTGCCTCTGCCGAGAGCGAATACATGGGAGGTATAGGGAGTTTGGACCCCCTGGTTTGATTCCGAATCGGTTTGTCTTTTAGACGTTTGTATGTTGACTTTTCTATATTTCTTCGGGTTGAGCGTATACTATATCTGCGATGTATATGATATATCAGTTCAGTGAGCCCGAAAACCAAACATATAAGTCTTGTATAAATGATAGTTATGATTTTGTTTAATTTCATCTTTTTGTTCTTTTTCAGGAGTGCCTCCTCGACCTCCACATCGGCAAAAAGAAGAGTGAGTGGATTTTCCTCTTTTTCTTTTCTCTCTATTCGTAATCCCAGTTCGCAGTGGTCACCAGCTCGGTGTATTGTGTTTGCTTTTATTCTAGGCGGGATGGGGGAGGAGGTAATGATACCTTGAACCGGCTGTGTTTGCCCTCGGCGGGATCTTAGTGCAGTCAGGCATTTTATTGGTTGTAAAACGTGGGTGCAATGTGCTGGCTTGTGCAAAAAAGAAGGAGGCCCGTGCGATTTGACTGGCTGCGCTCGCTTGTGACGGTGGCAGCGATATAGTATTGTAGAACAGATAATTCTGCCGGCGTGCATAAAAGCGTCTATGTGCTACGCTGTGTGGGGCGAGAGGTTTGATCACAGAAAATACGGAAGGAAAATAAAAAGAAAAAGGGATTGTATGATGGTGGTATGTGCGAGTGAGGGAGTCAATAGTTGTAATGTAAGCCGTGTCGGAGAGAGGCAGTGGTGAAAAGGGAGCGCAAAAAGAAACAGTAAAGGTGAGATCTTAAGACGATGAGTGGTTACATACGCCACAGTGCGCCAGGTCGGGGCACATCTTCCGCGCTTGTTGGTTTGGTATATGCTGGCGAGTTTTCTCATTTAGTCTCTCCTTCGAACTCTCCCATCTTTGGATCCTTTATGCAGCCCTTTGTACCCATTCCGTTGTTCTAATGGTCGACTTGTCACTGGACCTATACATTACGCTTTAGGAAAAAGAAGAAAAAAAAAGATAGTGTTGCTTGCACACGGTCGCGCAAGGCTGGGTATACCTGCGTAGCTGTTAGCACGTTCGAGCTTCTCTTGTAAACCATCTGTACGGAATGCCTCTAGCGGTAATTGAAAGTGTGCCGGTTAATAATGATGATAATTTTCTATTTACTAAACTTCGAAAACCGCGACCATAACAGCTCTGTGGCGAAAAAAAAAGCATATTTACCCGTTTTCACCGAAACTTCGTGTGACTGCACGAATTCGTCCATCCTTTGAACGCGAGAAGCGTGAATGTATTAAGCCTCGTTTGCCGTGTTTACGAAACGTGCAACGCGTACGTGTCACAATGTTTAACAAGCCCTTTTACTCTCCACTGATGCACTAAATTTGAAGAAAGTGTGTGGGTAAAAAAAAAAGAAATTAACGTGTGTGCCACAGAACTTAGGCCAGCCCCGCTGCTCATTATTGGTTCTCAAAAGTGAAAAAAAAAACTTTGAGGTGGCAAGCATTAAAGGGCCACTCATCAACCCGCGTTTAAAGACGAAGGGGTGATTTTCTCCTCTCCTTCATACGCACGATGCATCCTCTTCGCCCCTTAGTTCTTGAGTGCCCGTGAACAATATCACCACCACTAAGCGAGAGCCTATCAGGATTTCACGCTTCTCGGCTGCACGCTGTTATCGCCGCTTGCCCAGTTGTGAACACACAAAGTGAAGTTTGATCGGTTTGATTGTGGACGATGTTCATGCGAGACAGAGAAGAACGGATGCGCCGCGCTGCATGGCAAAGCAATGCGGGGAGACAAATCACATGTGATTTTTCCCGTATATCAAGGAATCGTGAACATGTACGCTTTAGACGTCATGGTAACTACTGCGTCACAGTAGTGCGCCAAGAAGGACGAAAAATACCAGGAAAGAATTTTGCGCGCGCCAGCAGGAGGCACTCCAGAGTGCTCTCGACAAGGCGTCGGACTGGTGTGCGCGCATAGGACTGACACTATCTGCCACGAAGACTGCATTCATGTCTATCACCAACAGACGAGGTCGCCGTCGCCTCCTGCAGACGCCGATATGTTTGAGCCTAAATGGCCATACCCTCACCCCTGTATCCACTATACGTGTGCTCGGGGTCGAATTGGACGCATCTGGCTCTGCGAATGCGTGGGTTCGCTCTGCTCGCCGGAAGAGTGCTAATACCCTCCATCTCATTCGTCGCATCTCTCAAAAGACGGGGGGTGCCTGTTCTCGAATGGCCCGTATCTTGGTGCGATCAATCCTACAACCTCGGCTCGTTTATCAAGCTCAGTTTCAACGACTGACTTTGAGAGACTGGGACTTGCTCGAAACCGCCAACCGAGATTCCATGAGGGCGATTACATGCCTTCCCCGTATGACACCTATCACGACCCTCCAGGCGGAAGCGCAGCTCAACACCATCGACGAAATTGTACACCAGCGTCGAGTCGCTCGCTACCCTAAAGAGTCAAGCTGTTCCTGCGGCGGCAGCTCTAGCTCACTACTATGGTTCAACGCTGCCACAGCCTGACGCACCCGTGGCAGAAGTTCCACCATGGCTCAAGGCACAGGCCAGTGACAACCGACCACTGACCCGCCTGCGACAATCCACCCGACAAGCGGCGCAGGAGGGCATCGTCACTACCACCGAGAACTCACTAGCGGTATACGTAGACGCAGCTACCGATAATTGCGTTCTGCACACCAGTCTCGTATGCCCCGCGCAACCTGAAATCCAACATATCTGCTCTTACGTACAGAGGCACCGTTCCCATCCGTATTAGCGGAGCTCACTGCTATACGGGACGGGTTAACAGTTATGATATCCAAAATGGATTCTTTGTCACACGATAAATTGCTTGTATATACGGACTCCACGCAGGCAGTTCGAGAGCTGCGAAAAGTGACCAGCTCCATCGATATAGCCTCCGATATACACCGACTGATCCACTCATGTGCCTGTCCTGTCCGCGTTCTGTGGACCCGCCGGTCTGCACCGGCTCAAGTGGAAGCAGATGCCGCTTGCCATCCAGCGACTGTTCAACACCCGCTGCCTCTACTTCGTTTGTCCCCGAAGGACAGCTTGCTTGTGCACAAAGAAACCCTCCGGCGCTCCACGCGTGCTCTCATTCCTCCGCGTGGATCTGACCTTCCGGCGGCTTAACTCGCCGAGAGGAGGTTGCGCTCAGGAGGATTCGTGTGGGCGCCGCCTTGACTCTGCAATCCGGGCTACATGGACATCTGGTGCACAGCCTCCCCCAACGACGTGCCCATTCTGCGTTGCCCCAGCCACAGAGGCAACGCTTGATCACCTATTGGGAACCTGCCCGGGCCTTCACCAGGCTCGCACTCGCCACCTACGCGGCCTTCACCACCACCCCGGCCGACCACCTGACTTGACGCGCTGGACGCACGGTCCACTGCATCGACAACTCCTGGCCTTCATACAGGAAACAAAACTTTTCCTTTTTATTTAACTGATGCCGTAGGGCATACTAGCGCCAATAAAAAAAAAAAAAAAAAGAATTTTGCGCACTTTTTTTTTTGTATTTTGGGAGCTTGGTGAGTGGCCCTTTCATGAATAGCTCTGGGCAGCTGTAACGGACTATTGAAAAAGACTAATGAACGGTCGGGATCGACGAAGTGATGAACACGGGGGCCGCGCGTTCTGACTTTGCTGGTTTACCATCTGCACATCGGCACCGACTGCTTGAATGGTAATTTTCGCCGAGCCTTGACTTTCTGTTTGGAAATCGTAACACTCCCTTATGAGTGTCGCGGGAGGTGCGACTCTCCTAAAGAGATTTGAGGCGTATCTTTAAAAGTGTAATTCGACGATTGCAAGCTGCGTCCGAGCCGGCGGCAAGTTATCTTTGCGTCTGCTTAACTTTCTTAATATTTATATCACAGCTACCACTACCATCATTCACTGTACTTTCCTTGGCATTATTTGTGTGTTAGTTCTCAATAGGAAAACTAGCCTTTAAAATCCCGCTTCCTTTTTTTTTTCATTAAAGGCAGTTATATATGCGACAACTGTACTTGCTCCCCCCTCCTCCCCCCACTCTCCAGCTTCTAATTTTTAACGTTATCGCGTTAAAAACCTCGTTTCGTAGAAATTCCGTCGTGGGCGTCAGTGTCGGTGTCGTTGATTGTCAGTGAAAAATCGGCGTGGTCCACGAGCGAAAAATAATGATGCAGATAAGATGATAAAAAAAAAATCACAGCATATCCACGAGATGAATGGTGACGATTGGGGTGATGCAAATGGACGGGAGGATGGACTGATGGACGCTTCTCCTACTCATCATTATTCACTCCGTGGATATGCTGTGACACCGTTTTTATTGACCTACAATGCAATGCAACTGGCTACTACGACGACACGGGACATACGACCCACGGTGTAAGGAGCTTCGCCCCTAAAAATTTTGGGAGATCCCGAAGCTTCGCCTTTAATAGTTGAGCGCGATGGCGATATTCTATTCCCAGTGCGTACCTCAAATACTTTATGTTTGAACACTCATGGCCGCTCCCGTTAACAAACCATCTTAAAATTGGCGTCCTCAGTACAGCCAACGGCTATTTCAGTGTTGCTTGTCTTCTAAGAAACTGAAGTATAGGCCTGCATTCCATACTTAGTTGGCACGAAGTCCGATATACTGTTGCCTATCTTTGCGCGAGGGATTTTTTTAACGAGCCGTAACTGCAACTGAAACCATATAATGCAACGTGTTTTATTGATTGTGAAAGCTCATGTGCATGAGAATAAGTGTGGAAAGTATAAAAATATCAAAAATGTTTCTGTTTAATCGTCGTCAGAGGTTTCCCTTGAATGATCATTTCTTGAAGTAAGCGTGATTACATCTTTTGCTTGAAAAGTATTAATAATATAAGCTTGTAACATAATAGAAAGTTGGGCGAGTTGGTGTGTATTCATATTCAAAGAAAAGCGGCGCACAAAAAAGACGGAGACAAAGAAGAGAACCACACACAGCGCTGCACTCACAACTGAAAGTTTAATCCGAGCAACAAGAATTTAAAAAGTAATAGCCGCGCATGACAAGTGTGGTACAACGAGATTAAGTGATACGCTCGTTGTACCTCACTTGTCATGCGCGGCTATTACTTTTTAAATTCTTGTTGCTCGGATTAAACTTTCAGTTGTGAGTGCAGCGCTGTGTGTGGTTCTCTTCTTTGTCTCCGTCTTTTTTGTGCGCCGCTTTTCTTTGAATAATATAAGCTGTGGCAGTTTTATAAATAAGCCTGCTGA